AAATCACAAAGGGCTGTGTGACTTTGTGCTAAAATCATTGGCTTCCTTTGGTTGTTACTTTTAATGCCAAGATAAGGACATGTTACAATATTACTCACATTGACATCATATCATCTTCCTTCCATCTAAACACCCAAGGGTCGTGCTTTCACTGTTGACTTTAATGACAGAACTATATCTTTAAAGCATGCTTAACATTTTCAATTTGACATAACATAACTCCAATTTGAGGGCCATATTTCTGTGTTTTCACTCCACTGTCACCCTCCTCCCTCCTCCCTCCCCTGCCCCTCTTCTTTAAACCTGACTTACAACAAATCTGTTTTTAAACACATGCATCTGCAGCTGCTTAAACTCATCACATTCCACAATCCTGAATAAGTGCAGGAGATTTAGTGGGGAGGGAAAAAAAATGATATAAGCCCAATTAAGACCACCCAGAAAATTTAGCTGACCGTGGAATAATTTTTACATTAGAAAAAAAAAGAAAGAAAGAAAGAAGGCAGGAACTATGACTTTAATGGCAGGGGATGTGTCACATTTTTGTAGGCTGGAAAAAATAAAAACTGCACCCAGTCAGAGATTCTTGGGGAGAACGACTAAGTTTTTGGTCTAATACCAGTGTGTGGCTCCATACCTGGCAGCAGTTAAAGGGAACGCAAAGAAAGGCCATAAAACGGATAGTTTAACCATTGATCGAGAGTGGAGCTGAAAATGGCAGCTGTAAATCAATTTTATCTCGCAGCAGCTAAAGAGTGTTTTCTAATGAGGTTAATGCCACATAATGGCTAAATTTTTCTGCTTTAAAGATGCCCTCAAGGTGGTGGCCAGAGATAGATGTCAGCACTGCCAATGACGAGTAAAAGTTTAACGGCTTTTGCTCTTCCTGCTCAGGGAGGAGAAGACAACACTGTCATCTGCCAAGAAGTTTTAAAGATTTTATTTAGTGGTGTTCTAATATTTCATAAATGGGATCTGATTTTTTTTTTCTTTTCATTCCTGTTATTGTTCAAATGCATTTCTCTAAAATTAGTCAACAATGTGAATACTTCCAGTCATCATTCTTTTTTTCAGATTTTAAGCCTCCATGAGAAGTTTGTTTGGTTCTCAGTCATCCTAGTGATTTTAGCTAAACTGGTTCCAAACTGGGCTTGGTTTGTAGAAGTTATAATTCACTGCTGGAATTTAGGCAATTCTGTTTTTTTTTAGTTCCCTAATTCTTGACCGCCTACACCAGGGGGACTGGCGGGCCTAAAATTGTGTCCTAAAATTTGACAGGTGTGCCGGGTCAGGGGCAGATAGATGGAGTGTTCATGTGTACTAAGATAAATGACATGTAAAGGTCATGCATAAAGGTTTTTTGTCCATTTTTATGTCATTTATTGGGGAAATATGGGCATCGAAAGAAAAAAAGAAAAATATTATAAATGAATAATAAAATCTGGATAAGTTTGGTGAGCCGAATTAAACGCCAAATGGGCCGCATCCAGCCCCTGGGCCGTAGTTTGCGTAGAGGGTTGAGTCCTCTAAAAAAATATTTTAAGAACATATTGTAAGAAGATGAGTGTTTGGTATCACCTCCTCTGGTAAGGGATAGTTTCTTCACCTTTTAAGTTGCTAGTCCTCTTAAAAACTATCTGTATATAAACATTTTCATTCTCATAAGATTATCCTTTGTTCTCCAAGTCCCAACCTCTGTAAAGTTTGGTCTGTTGAAATTGTTTTCCAGTAGATTGAGATCTAAACATGACACGGTGGATGGAATGCATGGATAGATAGAAAAAAAGATTTGTGGTTCAACATGTAAGGAGTAGACTACGTTGCGTGATTGGGACCCACTTTTAAACCAAGACGTCAGGTCCTTACGTAGCCTGAGGATGCTCTTACACTACGGCTTTTGTACCGTTGACCAAACACAATTAACCGTGTATAAAGCGCGTATTCTAGGGCTAGCGTGAGTGTAAACGCTTTTGACCCAGGTGCAGGGGGGTTGCCTACTATGGTGTGATCAGAATTAAGCATATTCCGCTGTCATTTCTGTCATTTTTAAGATGAACTCTTTCACTACTTTTTAGCTACTTAGCTTTATCGTTAGCATTCTTAACAAAACTACAGCTACTTCGGCTTTTTTTTTAATACAAATCAATACATCTCTGTCTAACATCATACATTTTTTGTGCTATTCCAGTCATTTTACATGAGAAAATGAAGAGACAAAGATAAAAAGACAAAGAACCTTTTCCTCACACTGAGAGTAAAAAGTAAATAAATATTATATTTTAGGTTTGTATTATGTGATCATTTTATGCTGAAAAAAAACATTTTAGTTCAGCTGAGGTGTAAATTCATGTTCGCTATTTGTGTGTTTGATTGTCAGTGTGGCTCCACCCACCTCTGACAGCTCGGGGTGGTCTGTGACAGATCAATAAAAGCATGATTTCAGCTCAGTTCTGCTCTTTTTTTCCCCCTTGTCCTCTTCCCTTTATCCCCTCTGTCTGACAGAATTGATCTTCTCGCATGGATTGATATCAGCCGTGAAACAAAGTGATCCACACCTCCATTCCTCCTCCTCCTCCTCCTCTACTTCCACAGTATTTTGACACAATTATAAAATGTGACATTTCGGTTTGTAGGTGATACCTTTACAGACAGAAGTACAGAGCTTGCACTGAGTGGACCCGGAGTGTAAAAATCACTCACTCTTTACAGTCTCTCTCTAAAATGTCCCTGAACTTCATCAAAGACATACGAGAAGATACTACGTCGGCGTAGATTCATCCTCTAACTGTCATTACATGGGTAATAACCATAATAGTCATTATGTGAAAAAGATTGTTTTTTTCAAAAATACATACATCAATACATTTCAACACCATTATTAATATTATTATTATTATAATTATTATGTTGTTGAATCTAGATATACTCTATTGATATCTAATAATATTAGTCACATTCTGTTATTCTCCAGATATTTTATAGGACTAATCCAATAAGGTTTCTATGCTGTTAATATCATGCAAAAATAAATCTCCTGTGTTAACACGCCTCCGTTACATGTTCATCCACACCTCTGCTTTATATTTCTGATCCTACAGTTAAACATTTCCACAGCCTGATCACAAATATTAGTTCAATGAACTAACCTCACACTCTCCCAGTGGCGTGTGGCAGCATCAGGCCAAGGTCATGCTTCGGGACTTAAAAGATTGACTCGGAACTTCAAAAAGATACTTCAGTCCTGTGTCTTGTTTGTTAAGCTTTTTAAGTTTTAAAGAGCCTACAAGGGAGGTAGTTTTGAAACTACTGAAAAAAGAAAAAAACAATACAGTCTGAATCTGAAACACACCTCAACAACAGACCACACCGACTGTAGAGAGTGGCGAGACGAGACAAGCAGCTTAGGCTTTAATGTAGACGAGTGAATAACCTCACGACATTGGATAAGTGATTGGATTAAACCAGAATTATCATTTCATATTCCAATCCAGAACTTCTGTGCATATAAAAACAGCCGAGGAAACTATAAAGGATCTGCTTTTCTAGTGTAGTATCACTATTTAATCCATCGTTATAAAATATGAACAACATTTAAATGTTGTTGAGAGTTTTTTTTTTGACTTAAAATGTATTACTATATTGTAAATACAAATCTAAATTACACTAAAACAACACCCAAAACTAGCAAGGTGAGGAACAAAACAGAAACTACAGCAAGACTCCTTTCGCTTTAGCTAAGACCAAAACAACAAGTGATGATCAACACAGAGCTCTACACAACAGAGACAACTGCAGTTCCCCCGAACCAAAGCCATCCCAGGAGGCCATAATGTTCTTAAATATGTCCTTTTAGTACTGGCTATCGCAGAGCAATGCTGATTATGATCATGAACCAAGAGTCTTTCCAGAACGGGACATTTGTGCCTTCGTTTAAGCTAAAGTGAAGCATGACACCGACCAACGCTACCAGGTTTTCCAGTAGCTTAGCTCTACTTTTTAATCATGAGCACTGCAAATATTAACAATGATTTGAACTTCACTGATCCCATTCTTGTGTTTACAGCAGATCCAACGGCTGCAACATGCTGCCCCACCTTCCAGGCACCAAGTATGAGGTTCCTCTGGGAATCAAACCGAGGACCACCTGCCCTCTGTTTTTCGCAGCAGTCATGCTAACTGTTACACTATGAAACCACAACCAATTTTTGTCACGATTGCCACATCTGGATTCAAACCCAGGTCCCCTGGACCATTGACAGAGACAATGTCTCTGAGCTAAAGCGCCACAATTTATGGGTAAAAGATGACAGAAGATTGGACCACATCGCTTGGATACCCCATTTAAGAATATACACATACACTGCGTATATATATATTGGAAAAAACTTTAACACTACGATCCATCATCCATGTTAGAGATGATGGAGATTCAGAGCCACAAAAAAAAAAACGTTTAGAATGTTAGTTATACTATCTCTATTTGTTTGTTTTTAGTGCATAACAAAATAATATAACATAACATGGATGAAAAATGAATGTTTTGTTGTTGTAATACATGCATACATGTATGTATTATATCAGTCACAAATCCATAATAATTTTGACATAAAAAAATGACTGTTCATTTCTTTAAAAAAAATTTCAATTGCAAAGCCTTTAAATAACATTTTCTTATAAACAGTTACATATATAGACACATATATGGAGATACATATATATATATATATCCACATATACATATATATACACACATGTATTTATATATACACACATATATAAATACATATGTATGTATATATGCATGTATGTATGAAAATGTGTATATATATCTGCCATCTCACGTATGAAAATGTGTATATATATCTGCCACATCATCTCTGTGGTATGATTACATGTTACAGTACATTTCATTATTTTATCTCTTTATGAGTGAGGTGAAGAAGGGAGGCGCCCTTCTTCACCTCACTGCTTCCTGTCCTATAGGAAAAGTCCTGACTCACCTCAGACAGTGCGGGTATTTGGATGATGCGATGAAGATCAGCTTCAACCTGCAACAGACTTGGCTCCTCCTCTTCCTCTGCTTGACCCTGATCAGGTTAACCTGAGAGAAAGATTATTCTGGATTAGTCCAGATTAGTCAGCACCTTATCTCCACTCTCAGATCTATCTTCACAGTAACCCACAAAGGGTTTCCTCCTGAAACTGAAGGTGAAATCAAACAGACAGGTGGATTTATTTTAAGAAAAATAAATATTTTCAACTGACCCCTTCCAACTGTATTTAAAAACAACTAAAATAAATCTGTAAACCGCATTTAATCTTAATCTCCATCTTTTTAAATGTATTATGTATTTATATATTTTTTAAATTAAATCACTTTATTAGTCCTTTTTGTAGTATGTGAATGGATGTGTTTTAAATAATATTAACTAAAAGACATTAAAAAGGTGCCAAAAACTCAAGTACACACAGGCATTTTTTATCAACTTAATGTGACAACCCCTGCCTTAACGTTCCTAATGAACAGATGTTTCCTGTTCTAAATCAGAGGATTGTTGATAAACAGTTCTTCCTCCTGACGTCTGGGGTTGGTGCGTTAAGACGGCCCCCCCCCCCCCATTTAATCAAGGGATTCACCTGTGGGGGCACTATATAAACCATACAGTATAAAGTAAACACATGAGGCACACATCTGTAACAACTCAGCCAGAGACGCCGTCCTATTATTTTTCGTTAGTCAACATTTTATAGTAGATCCTACTGCATTAAGGAGGTCCAAGTCCTGTTTGCAGTTTTATTTAAGACAGAATGTCTCGAGCAGAGCCACTGTCTTAGCTCACTCACATACTCTGCACATGCGATCCAACACCACTAACAAAGATCAACAGTTGAGCAAAACATGGGCATTATAACCAAAGACCAGGACCTAAAGCGACCACAGACATAAGGATCATAACCCAATATCACATATATAACAAGAATCAATTTCTGAGTTGATTCTTGGGGCTTGTACAGTTATCCAGTGTCCTGCCGGTTGACCACAACTGCATGGCGTGCTCAACCTTCTAGCTAGGGATGACCGATATTAACTTTTTGCCAAAATTCAAAATGTTGATATTTGCTCACACACTTCATTTTTTGATTCCAATTTCAACCAATACAGATATATGTAGCCGTTTGCTCCTAAAACTGACGTAAACGTGTCAGGATCCTACAAGTGATTCTAGCAAATTTGGCAAAACCTAATCAGATTTTCATTATTTGATGAAAAAAAAATGATAACAATGCTGATGGATATTATCTAACTGTGCTAATATCGGGGTGATAATATCATGTTATAGGATGAACGTGGATTTTGATTTTCTTTTTTTATTCACCTGGTCACTTTAAATGGCAGAAAAGTAGGCTGGACCCAATTGCAGCACTAGGTAGACTCTCTTCAGGTGCAGTGCAAAAACAAAAACATATAGGACTGAAGCATCAACTCCAGGCATGCTCTTCTCCAACATCACGGACTTCCTTACAACTCAAGGACTCCTCCATCTCTAGGAGCAGGTCGCAAACTAACAGCACTAATGCCAACATTACAATGATCCCACAAAGACAGAGTGAGGGAGAGAGGTGTATATATACCCAGGGCACCAGGTGACACCAGTGAGACTAATCACAGAGACAAAGGTGAGGGTGATCACAATGATTAACCCCACAGAGCAGACAGCAGGAAGGGGGGAAACAGACAGCCCGAACAGTGAAATCTGTATTATGAGCACTTTCTTTCCTTCTTGCCTTTACAATCATTTTACCTTCGATTTCCTCGGCTGGTAAAAAGTTGGTTTCGGAGCAGAGGCTAAGGGAAGATGCATTAAGATGTGGCTCAATACCAGTTATACTGTATATAATGGAAGGACAGAAAAAGAAGAGACTAAAACTAATCAAATGAGAAGAAAAAAAAAAATAAAGTAAGCAACAAAAGGAGGAGGAGAAGGAGGCCTGGGAAGGAGATGAAAAGGGAGGAGAAGATGCATCATGATAGAGATGTGAAGCATTTATGGCCGTGCTATGTGATTTGGACAGATCCTAAGGTCAGGGGATCACACAGACACACACACACACGGGTAACAAGACAAGCATACACACACACACATTCACACAGCACGTACTTATTAAGTGTCTCAGGCTAAATGGAAGTTGGATGTAATATTGCTCTTGTCAAAACGGCCATCTGATGTCAATTTCACATCAAGGCAAGACCCTCTGCAAGCTGTTCTGTTGCCCCGATCACACACACTCACATACACACACACACTCAACCACATACAAATAGCTCTCAGTAAAAAAAAAATGAAACATGGTCTATGAGCTTTTTTTAGATTATTTTTGATCATTGTTGTTACACACATTGCAGCCAGGTTAGTGTTTGTGTGTTTCTAAACACAATGTTAAGGAAGGAAGGAATAATTAGTAAAAAAAAAAATTTATCAGTATTTTTTTTAGTTTGTGTGTTTCTAAACACAATGTTAAAAGGAATAATTAGTTAAAAATAATTTTTATCAGTATTTTTTTTTTATTAATTACTTTCCGGCGACCTGACTGGAATACAAGGTCGACCCCACTTGAATAGGCAACCCGGAGGTTGAAAAACAATCCAAATAAGTTGGTATGCAGTCAAAGTCAATGAATGAAAATCTAAAAAAAAAACATTCTTTCTTTCCTTCTGCCATCAGACTCCTTAACGGGAATGGACAATAACATTACTTTTGCACATACCAAATTTGCACATCCACAAGTGTTAACTACTGCACTTTACAAGTATTAACAACTGCACACTGTAAATACTGAAAAGACTTCTGTTGATTCATGTGTATATTTTGTTATTTTATTCCTGTGTATATTTTGTTATTTTTATTTCTTGATTTCTTTGGCATTCAGTGTGGACAGCAAAGTAACATTTTCATTGTACAGGGAAACCTGCTTTCCTTACTGTACACATGACAATAAACGCTTTGAATCTCTTTGAATCTTGAACATTCTAAACAAATTAAAAGGCTTGGCTTCACCCACAAGATGTGGGCGTTGTTGTGACTGACCTGCCTGCAGTCCAGATTTGCGCAGTCATCATGATAATATGAATCATTTGACAGTGACCACTGACTGTTGAGTAGTCCATTACTGCATAAAGTCAGTAACGTGTCATGATGTAGCAACGATGAAGAAGATGGCAAACTGCACAATGAGTGAATCATTTTTAAGAAAAAAAAAGGAGTTAAAAGTGGAGAACGTGACCTGGTAATAAAATTAATTATTTATATCAGAATAATTGTTTTCTACATCTTGTCTTTGAAAGTATACAAAAATACTACAGTGAAAACCTCTATGTCTGCCCCTGACATTTTTACAATAGTGCCTCTCACACACAAACACACACACACACACACGCTGGGATAAGTCATAAGGAAATTGATGCCCATGTTTGGTGAGACCACCTGTTCATCCTGGAAACCAGTCTAAGAACCCAGTAAGGGTTAACCCTGTTAGTGGGAGAGAGCCAGGACACTGTGTGAGTGTGCTAGTGAGTGTGTGTGTGTGTGTACTGGGCCTTTAGATATTTATGCATGTACATGTGTGTTGTTACGTTGGCACCTCCCTCGTCTGAAACGTGCCCCACGAGTGGCAGACTGGCTCAGGCGGTCGACTGGGAGGAAGCTGAGCCCACTGCTGGACCACCTCCCTACTGGCAACGTGCACACACTTGCACATGCACATGCACAGACACCAATCCCTAATATGGTAGTCCAAGTCCATTGAGAACATCTTTACTGCCCTGCCCTTGTTTTTCCTTGTTTTTCTATATCAATAAATCAGCCATCAACCTACTATGACACCTGTACCAGTCTATGTAGACAATGATGATAAAAAAGACTATAACATGTAAGTCTATTGATATTCTTGTAATATATCAACTATATTTACTTTGGAACAAGAAATATCGCAAGGCTGACAGAATTGTGTTTTGGTTTTTTTTCCTTTTTCAAAAAAAAGTTGATTTAAAATAATTATAAAAATCCTATTTAGATTTGCAAATCCAATCACTTGAATCTGAATCTAAGAAATGTTTTCTGCTGTTTTGGAGTAAAACCAGTTACTAGTTTGGATTTTTAAAGTGTGGACTAAAAGTGATATTTCAATTATTTGCTTGGTTCAAATCTAGTTATAAAGACATATAACTATCATTCAATTTGCTGGTCTTAAAAGTAAAAGATGTATAAAAAATATGTTCCTTCCAAATACATTTTCTTTACAATGTAATGTAATGGACACAAAAAGCTTGTTTTTTCGTCTCAGGAGATGCATACCAATGGGATCCTGGGCGGGACAGTAAAGGTTAGAATTTTATAATCGTCATGTTTTTAAACTCTTGGACGACAGAGTCCGGAATCAACTCCGTGACCCCTTGATTGACTGCCAACCCGAGAGATTAAAGAGAGAGAGAGAGAAGGCAGCTCTGGATTCGTCAAAATTAATTTACGTTCTCAAATATCTTAAAAAAAAAACAAAACAAAACAACATTTTCTGCATAAGGAAAATGTCAAGTAAAAAATATGCAGAGATCAAAATTTTGCTTCGTAGAGTTAGCAGAAGTAAGTCATTACAGTACACGCTGATGGTGTTTTGTGGAACATATCGAGAGTTGCATTCGAAACTGTTGTTGTGCTCAACCACATTAAACAGTCATCAGGTCAGTCACCATGCACTGACTGACCTCCTTGATGCCGGTCTGACACAAGGAAGGTGTCTGACTGGATGTCGCAACCTCTACAAAGACATTCTAGGTGTTGAGTATAGTTGTACCATAGTATGTGTGTGTAAATAAAACATGTGTATCAATTATTGAATATACAGTGCATGTCACTCTGTCCATGGTTTTAAAATGTGTATTTATAATTAACTGATTAACACGAATGATTTTTGTTTGTCACATTTCCAATGTCATTTTGTTGACTGTTTCTCATAGAATTGAATAAAAATAAATTATAATCCAGTCACAATTTGTCAATTTTCCTTTCCAGATTGTTCAGTCGATCAACACAACTAACCCTCAGC